GTATGAAACTAAGAGAAGTGTGTTCTTGAAGAACAAATTCTCAGCCAGTTCAGGCTTCTGTGAAGACAGCCATCTTCAATTTTGTTGAATTGCTTGGTGTATGGTGTATGTCTTTACAGTTTTTTTTTGTCTAGGATCAGATGGCTCATCATGCCAGTACTTAAAGGCCTTATTTCTGAATATTCACTAGTAATTTGATGACTTTCTAATTTCAGTTCTTCTTTTCAGCATGCCTACAAAGTATTTGATGACACCAGAGTGCGTCTGACCTTGGAAGTTAAACAGGGCCAGCCCCAGACAGTACTTGTTTGGAGAGATTGCCAGCAACTACTAGATGCTGTAGGCTATATTTCAGAAGAAACCATATCCCATCTGATCTTGGTAGCTAAGCAGGATCAGCCATATTTGGTACTTGGATGGGATATGTCACTGTATGCCAGGTGCTGTAGGCTAGATATCAGAGGAAGGAACTGGCAAACCCACCTCTGAGTATTCCTTGGCTAAGAAAACCCTATGAAATTATGAGATCACTATAAGTTGACATGAGACTTGAAGGCACAAGAGTACTCTCTCCCTTTTAAACACATACAGACAGACTTGCAAGATGAGTTGAACCAAGACTAGTCTAAAGTCACACAAAGACTGTAGTGCAGGCATGGGCAAACGTTGGTTCTCCAGGGGTTTTGGACTTCAACTTCCACAATTCCTAACAGCCGGTGGGAGTTGAAGTCCAAAACACCTGAAGGGCCAAAGTTTGCCCATGCTTCCTCTAGTGGCTAAGTGAAGACTTACAACTGGCTTTGTCATGCCCAAAATTAAAAATATCTACACTCCTCTCTTAAACAGTACAGTAGCCCTTTTAGTGTGATCCTCCTTTGCTGCCCCTTCAAGTGGCTGCTCACTCACATCAGGGGCTTTGAACTGTATTTCTGTTTAAAGAAGCAAACGCCCAAAGATCAAATAAATGGCCAAGGTTTGGAGCAGCCTCGTGACAGGAGGGGTGGGCAGGCCTGTCTCCTCGGATGGGCGAACATGGTACAGATATGTCTCCTCTGCCAGCCAGTACTGGGGCCGCCTCTCATTCCCAAGGGGATGAGGGGGTGGCAGTATCAGGGTCTTGCTGAAAAGGGCCCTGTTGCTGCCAAAATGTCCTTGGCAGTTATGTGTGGGTGTATTCTGGAACAAATAAAACCCCAAGGGCTCTTGATCATCTTCCTCTAAATGTCAGGCTCTACCCACCGGAATTTGGAAAAGTTACATGTTTTGGACTACAGCATCCAAACACCCTTCCCCTGCCAGTGTGGACATGGTGGTTAGGGGATTCTGGGAGCTATAATTTTACAAAATTCAGTTTTTCCCAGCTTTGACAATGCCTGTCCTTGTAGTTTCAAATCAGAATCCCCTACTAAGTATAAGTATTTTGCTCCTTTGCTTGGATGCCAATGTTTTTTGTTTCATTCCCAATAACACTAAGATTACGGTTACCCTCATTTTTTTATCTAGTGTTTGCCTTCTTTAGCATTAATTCAGCATCCACTGATGTCCAGCATTTACGATCAGACTTGGTTGTTGTAGGTTTTTCGGGCTGTATGGCCATGTTCTAGAAATTGCCATGCTCTAGAACATGGCCATACAACCCGAAAAACCTACAACAACCTAGTGATTCTGGCCATGAAAGCCTTCAACGATCCGTCTTGGCTTTGCCTTAATTATACTGTTAAAAATTTAAACTGGTTTTAGATTTACATGTTTTTTAGATCCTGAAAATTTTACCCTTTTGGACAGTAGCTCCCCAAATAATCCAGACAGCTAGCTAGTATTCCAGTGGTTCCCAACTTATGGTCCATGGACCACCAGTGGTCCACAAGAACAAAAATATGGTTGGTGACCCCACCATTATTACACAGTTGCCTCGAAACCACATGGCAACGAGAGTGACTGGTCTCGCGAAACCTTCTTATAGTGACGAGGCAATGGGGATGTTGGGAAGGGAGAGCCCGACTACCCATGAAAGATTACTACTACCGCATCAGCTCTAGATTATTAAATATGGTTTTCTGTGGACGAGCAGATGGATGGTATATGTTCCGCATCAGAAACTAGAGCTGATGAGGTCTATCCAATGCAATTTTCTGAATCAGCACCCCCAAATAACCAAACCGAATCTAAAGTTGACCAAAAACCGATTCGTAACACTTTTGGAACTAATGTTGGAGAGTGGTCCCTGGTCTAAGTGGTCTGTGGTAAAAAAAAAAAAGGTTGGGGACCACTGCTGTAGTTTCATGTTTACTGCAATCACTAGTATCCCTTTTCTTGGGGATTAGAATGTATATTGGGCATTCCCAGTCTGTGGATCACTGTTGTCTTTTCCATATTTGTTGCCAGATTTTTGTTGAATTTAGATGGACACTGTTTCCATAGCCTTAAACAGCTCTATGGGTATGCCATCTGTTCTGAGTGATTCCTTTTTCCCATGTGCTTTGAGCACAGCTTTTATTTCACTTTCTTAAAATGTGGATTCATCATCAAAAGATCCTTTCTTGAAGGAATCTGTCATCCTTTGTCTTTTTTCATGTATTTCTTTTGAAGAGCCATATAAAAGGATTAGAAGAGATGAAAGTCCTTTTTGTACACATATTTATTACCTAATGGAATATGCAGAACTAATTATGTTAAATGAACATAATGTGTTTACAAGCATTACCATAACACCTTCATTTGGAATATGACTCCTAAGACCAGGATTTGAATCCCCACTCAACCATAGAAACTTACTGAGTGATGTTTGGCAAGTTACACTCTCTCAGCCTCAGAGGAAGGTCAACATGAACCCTCTCTGAAGAAATCTTGCCAAGAAAATCCTCTGATAGGTTTACCTTAGGGTTGCCATTAAATTGGAAATGACATGAAGGTACACAATAAGCATTTCATTTAACTGCTCTGGCTGTTGTCATAATTAGGGTATTCCCCAACACCAAATGTCCAGATCTGGGTCTGTGCGAGAGGAATTCTGGTGTGCTTATGTGTCTTCATGTTGCCTGTGAAGTTATGGCAACCCCATGAATTTCATAGCATTTTCTTAGGGAAGAAATACTCAGAGGTGATTTTGCTAATTCCCTGGAATTATAGCCTATAGTACCTGGCATTCATTAACAATCTTCCATCCATGAACTAAGAAGAACCAGCCCTGCTTAGTTTCCAAAATCAGACAGGATCTGGTATCTTTGGAGCATTTCTGTACCCTTGAAATAATGGGGTGGATACTTCTTTCTTTTTTGAGTTGGTAGCTGTGGCCAAGACATTGTTTCAAGAGTATTTTGTTGACTTAGTATCCCCCCTCTCATGTATTTTGCTTTAATCAAAGTGCAGAGTTTTTTTTTAAAGACACTAATATTAGTAAAAATGTGCAGTGGGAACATAACCTGAGAAACTTGTACTTTCACAACTAGTGCTGGGGGTTGTTTTGCAGTAGGCCTGGAACTGAGTGGGGCTGCATCTAACTGTGTGCTGGTTGCATCTTGTCTGAGCAAGTTTTTGTGAGCTGTACATTTCTTCTCCTTTTTTAAATATAGGTTTATGTTTAGGCAAATGGGCATGGTGCCCCCTACTGCTGATTGGTGGCATGTATGTTATCATCCCTTGAGTATTTTCTGGCTCCTGGGAGGCTCTCTGTTCTTCCTTGCAATGAATGTGTTGCATTGTGTGCTTGCCACAGGCATTTCTAGCAAGTTTAGCCTTCCTGTGCTCTGTTTATTTTCATCATCCTTCTGTATCTACAGATTTAACCATCCATGGCTGGGGATAAATTCCCTGAAGCAAACCTTGATTTAGCCATTTTATATAGAGAACACCATTTTACATAATAGCACTTTATGTGAATGGGTATCCACAGATTTTGATATGCATGGAGGTCCTAGAGCTATATTCTAGCACAAGCATGGGCAAACTTTGGCCCTCCAGGTGTTTTGGACGGCAGCTCCCACCATTCCTAACAGCCTCAGGCCCATTCCTTTCCCCCCTTAACCACTCAAGGAGCTGAGGGAAAAGGGTCTGAGGCTGTTAGGAAAGGTGGGAGTTGCAGTCCAAAACATCCAGAGGGACAAAGTTTGCCCATGCCTGCTCTAGCAAATATTAAGGGCCCACTCTATAGCAGCTCCACTAATGGATTAGCATTATTCTAGGCAGGGGAGGTCTCTGTGGGTTTCTCTCCACTGAACCAGTACATGTTGCTATTTTTGTTATGAAAGCATCTCACAAATTTCTGGCCTTGACAGAAAGGTGTTAGAATGAAGATTGCTTTCCACATCACTGTGGGCAAGCTTTCTGTCTGTTTATGTGTTACTATTCTTTTTCCCCCTGTGGACTCTATGGTCCACCAGCAGGAAAAAAGTGCAAAATGTTGGCCCATCAGCATAGACCCCAAACAGAGGGAAAAGGTGTCTCTTGGCATATAGTCAACCCAGGAGAGTCCCCTCCCCTCCAGTATTAGATCTAGAACTCACACACAAATTTTCTCAAAAAATACAATCTTATTTCATATCAAGATGGTGATTTGGAAAACCTTTTATTATTGTTGCTTTAGTTAAACCATTAGGATTTTAAAATGCTTACCGACCCACTGCAAATCTAACAGTGGATCCCAATCTACCTTTGCCCTGTCCCAAACTGGAAGCATGACCTGGATATATACTCAAGAGTTACTTAATACTGAAAACACTCTTGACCATCTTCACATTCTCCCAGTCAAACCAATTACGAGAGTAAAATGGTATGTTTCTCATCCATCCAGTACATATTTACAGATGAAGTGACTTCAAGCTATATCCAATTTATGGCAACCATTAGTCCACTTATGACTCTGGAGACCAGGGCTTGCTTCGTTGCTTGGCTATGGAAACCCATTAGGTGCCATCTTTGGCTTTTCCAACCGTCTCCATTAAAAGAACAACAAACAACATCCTTTGTTTTATTCAGCCATCATTTTCATCTCTGTCTTGCAGACACTGACTTGCTGTGCAATATCTGAGAAGTGTGGACCATTCTAACTTGCCTGGAGTGAATGAGGAAGGGATACTCTGGTAAGTAGAAACCGTTGCTCTTTCTGGTTTGGGAAAGGAAGAAATCAAGGCTGTTTATAAATGTGCTTCCATGGGAGAGTCACAGTAGTTTACAAGGTGCTTAGAGCAGGCATGGGCTGTTAGGAATTGCGGGAGTTGAAGTCCAAAACACCTGGAGGGTCGAAGTTTGCCCATGCCTGGTTTAGAGAAAGGATAACATGGTATAGTGGGTTGAGCTCTGAATGTTCACTCTAGAGATTAAAGTTCAAATCCTTGCTCAGCCGTGGAAATCCATTGGGTAACAATGGGCAAGTTATATACTCTGATACTTAGAGGGGACAAAGTAACTCACTTCCGCTATTTTGCAAAGAAAAATAGGTGCACCTTGGGGTCACCATAAGTGACTTGAAGATACACAGAAACAACAACAAAATATCATAGTTGTGGCAGGGGAAGCCTTTGAGGTTATACAGGTCATCTTCAGTGCCAGGCATCTGTTTATATAACATCAGAATAATGTGGAAAGGAGGGGAAATTTGGGGGTGAAAGATCCCAAAAGCCTGCAGTGGAAGAATACAAACCCTTAGGTTTTCAGGCATCTCCAAAGTCTGCAGGAGGGAAGGGTTGAATAACCTCCACTGCTGCCAGTATCATGTTGGACTTTTTGGACATGGGGTAGCTTTCTATTTCTCTGGGCTTGTCTATAAAAAAATCTTCCGTTACAAAGTGGATCTTTTAGCACCATTCTAACTGATTAGTTAGCCTGATAATCAGGAGCCCAGTGAAGCAGACCAACGTCATACCTTTGGTTGCCAGGACACTCGGTCCCTGTGGAGGAGCAAACTGAGCATGGCTATAATATGTTGTTATTTCTCATCAAATCAGCTTCAGAGTTTGGCAACTGCCTTCATGAGCCCTGATCATCAATTTTCTCAAATCTTGCTCAGGGCCATGGTTTCCTTTCTTGAATTCATCCATTTGTAATATTGTCTTTCTTATTTTCTACTATCTTCTATTTTACCAAACACTATCACCTTTTCCGGAGTCCCCAGTAACGCGGTGGGTTAAACCCCTGAGCTGCTGAACTTGCTGATCAAAAGGTCGCAGGATCGAATCCAGAGAATGGCGTGAGCTCCCACTGTTAGCCCCAACTCCTGCCAACCTAGGAGTTCAAAAACATGCAAATGTAAGTAGATCAATAGGTACCACTCCAGCGGGAAGGTAACGGCACTCCATGCAGTCATGCCGGCCACATGACCTAGGAGGTGTCTACAGACAATGCCGGCTCTTCAGCTTAGAAATGGAGATGAGCACCAACCTCCAGAGTTGGACATGACTGGACTTAATATCAGGGGAAAACCTTTACCCTTACCTTATCATCTTTTTCAATGAAGCATGTTGTCTAATGGTATGTCCAAAATACAATAACCTCTGTTTTGCTTTTATTGAGAGTTCAGGCTTGATTTACTCTTGAATCCATTGATTTGTATTTTTGGAAATCTGATATCTGTAGCACTCTTCCCCAACAAATAAGCTTATTATCTAGTTTTCTCATAGCTGTTTTCCCAAATCTTAGCCTTTTTTGGATTCCTTCACTACCATCTCTGCTTCGATTAATTATGAAGTCAGTGTAAGTACATGGATGTAATTAACATGCACAGGCAGTTTGGAAGCCGTAGGGAAGAATTAAACCTACCTATCACCAGGACATTCCTAGTAAAAATCTCTCAGAAAGCTCCCTTCTCCATTCAGATAACAGATTTTTGAGGAAGCGTGTTTTCTTGGGACTAGAGTTGGGAAGATTAAACATTCATTGTGGTCTTGATCTTGGTGTTGGTTGGATTGAGTTTCCCATTAGTGGTTTACATTTTTAAAAAGAAACACTCTTGCTAAACTGTTTTCATGCAAATGTGTGAGAACGGTGCATTCTTTAGCTTGACCATTTGTCTATAGATCAGAGCAGTAGAGTCCTTGCAAACTCGATGCAGACTACATTTCTCTGAATTCCAGCCCCTTTTAGCTGCTCAGGTAATGGCTGAAAACCCCGAAGAAAAGTTTTAAAGGTGGACATCAAAGATGACAAATATCTAGGAGACAAATAATAGAAGAAACAATGGGATGAACTGCATACATCTACCAGGGTTATCCAGAAAGTAAGGTTACAAGGCATGCAGCACTCGCAGGGAATTTTCATGGGGGAAGTTGGTATCACTGCCATGTAGCGGGAAGTGAGCAGAAGTGAACGAGCAGTGCCAGTCGTCAGTAGCTCATTGACTGGCATTGTGGTGAGGGTTAGAAATGACCATCCTCATTCTGTTTCTCTCCAAGTTCAAAGTTCAAGCTGGAAAATGCTACCTAAATGTTAAGGGCGTGAACACCCCTGTGATTCATCATGATATAGTTTCAGTTTATGGTCAAGACAGCATGTGACAAATACGGAATATATTGTGAGCCCATGAAGAAACTTCGCAGAGCCATCCAAAACAAACGTTGTGGGATTCTGACAATGGGAGTCTGTCTCCTTCATGACAATGCGTGTCCACACACCACTCATGCAACACAAGAATTGTTGACTTCATGTGGTTGGGATGTTTTAAGCAACCCCTTTCTTGCACCCAGCAACTATCATCTATTCACTAAATTGAAGGAACACCTGGGTGGAAAACACTTTTCCGACAACGTGAAAATCAAAGTGACGAACTGGCTGAAAAAGGCAGAGGGAAACTTCTATGACACAGGCATCCAAAACTTGTCCCACAGACGACAAAATGCATTGAACTGAATGGTGGTTATGTGGAAAAATAATGTAATACCTATGCCAGAATCCATGTAAATTTTATTAAAATATATTCATTCTTTGCATTTAAAAAAATCTTTAACCTTACTTTCCAGGTAACCCTCATAGAAAATAAAAACAACTTCAAATGCTTAATCCCATGATAGAAAAATTTTCACCCATTTACTACATGACGGTCAAATTAGGAACACATGAAGAACAACTGGGTAATTATAGGAGTTGGTTGAGAAATTAAACACTTTGTCTTGGAGGGTTGAAACAGGGTAAACATCAATAATGTATATGTTTGTGTATACTATAAAACAATGCCCAATACTTATTTTATAAACTGATTTAAATATAGACTTGTCTAAACTAAAGCACTCCATAATATATCTACATGTTCTCATTCACTATGGTAAAACATTTAAAATTAACTCTTAGCATTCTCTCAAGATAGATAGAGGTAAGGTAAAGGTTTTCCCTTGACATTAAGTCTAGTCATGTCTGACTTGGGGGTTGGTACTCATGTCCATTTCTAAGCTGAAGAGTTGGCGTTATCTGATCCATAGACACCTCCAAGGTCATGTGGCCCGCATGACTGCATGGAGTGCCGTTACCTTCCCGTCGGAGCGGTACCTATTGATCTACTCACATTTGCATGTTTTTGAACTGCTTGATAGAGGCATCTCAGGACTAATGAGATTATTTAGGCCTTTCAGCACCTTCAGGTATTGTAAAATATTTCAAGGAGGCACTTCAAATATGAATTTTGATCTGAAGTTTTAAGATAAATGAAAACCCACTTCTCCTGTGCCAGGAAAGGAAGGAAAAATAAAAATCCCATGTTGTTGTTGTTCAGTCGTTTCCGACTCTTCGTGACCTCATGGACCAGCCCACGCCAGAGCTCCCTGTTGGTCGTCACCACCCCCAGCTCCTTCAAGGTCAATCCAGTCACTTCAAGGATACCATTCATCCATCTTGCCCTTGGTCGGCCCCTTCCTTTTTCCTTCCTTTTTCCCCAGCATAATTGTCTTCTAGCTTTCCTGTCTTCTCATGATGTGGCCAAAATACTTCATCTTTGCCTCTGATATCCTTCCCTCCAATGAGCAGTTGGGCTTTATTTCCTAAAGTATGGACTGGTTGGATCTTCTCGCGGTCCAAGGCACTCTCAGAACTTTCCTCCAACACCACAGTTCAAAAGCATCTATCTTCCTTCGCTCAGCCTTCCCTATGGGTCCAGCTCTCACATCCATAGGTGACTATGGGGAATACCATTGCTTTAACTATGCGGATCTTTGTTGCCAGTGTGATGTCTCTACTCTTCACTATTTTATTGAGATTGGACATTGCTCTCCTCCCAAGAAGTAAGCCTCTCCTGATTTCCTGGCTGCATATCCCAGAGGATATTTAAATCACTATTGCCATCTAGTGGCTGAAGGAAAAAAGAAAATTGCCTGGGGAATTTAAAAAAGTCACAGTTTATGTCGAAGGCTTTCATGGCTGGAATCACTAGGTTCTTGTGGGTTTTTTCGGGCTATGGAGCCATGTTCTAGAGGCATTTCTCCTGACGTTTCGCCTGCATCTATGGCAAGCATCCTCAGAGGTTGAGGTCTGTTGGAATTAGGACAATGGGTTTATATATCTGTGGAATGGCTGGGGTGGGGCAAGGAGCTCTTCCCTCCTGCAGTTAGGTGTGAATGTTTAGCTGATCACCTTCATTAGCATTTGAAGGCCTGCCTGAGCCTGGGAAAATCTGTTGCTGGGAGGTGTTAATCTGTGCCTGGTTTTTTTTTCCTCTCTGTTGTTTAGCTGTTATAATTTTAGAGTTTTTTTTTAATACTGGTAGCCAGTTTTGTTCATTTTCATGTCTCTCCTTCTGTTGAAATTGTCCACATGCTTGTGTATTTCAATGGTTTCTCTGTGTAGCCTGACATGGTGGTTGTTAGGGTGGTCCAGCATTTCTGTGTTCTCAAATAATATGCTGTGTCCAGGCTGGTTCATCAGGTGCTCTGCTATGGCTGACTTCTCTGGTTGAAGTAGTCTGCAGTGCCTTTCATGTTCCTTGATGCGTGTCTGCGCGCTGCGTTTGGTGGTCCCTATGTAGACTTGTCCACAGCTGCATGGTATACGGTAGACTCCTGCAGAGGTGAGAGGATCCCTCTTGTCCTTTGCTGAACGTAGCATTTGTTGGATTTTCTAGGTGGGTTTGTAGATTGTTTGTATGTTGTGTTTCCTCATCAGC